GGAGGAACTATTTAATTATCTTGATTCGCTCATCTGACAAAACCCCTAGCTTAAGAACGGAAAGCAGCACTTAACGCCGAAATTCCCTACGCCTCCCTCATGTACACGGCATCATCCACGAGATCGAGCTCAAGATCATCCCAAATTGCTCTCGTCTCGCTACCATCTTTCACAAGCTTGGCCTCAACAACTCGAGCTTCCGACGCGAGATTGAGTGCCTCGAGCAAGAAATTGGGGAAAGGGTCTCAGAGGTCTGTGGCATTTTCGACTGCTACTTCCACCTCCGTTCACCTTAGACTGTTCCGCCTTGCATCGTCCACTTCGGTTTCAACCAAACGCCATCATCGGCTTCGTTAGCCTTCACTGCTTCTGTCTGGTTCCGTTTCCCGCATCTGATTTCAGCTGCGACTGCTTTGTCCATCTGCTCATCTGGAATTTCTTATCGTCTGTTCAACGTCTGATTATTTCTTCGTCTATGTCGTCCTCGTTCTACTTCGTCTTCCACTTCGACTAGGCTGATCTTGACAGAGCCTCTCTTTTGTTCGAACTCCACCTGCAGTGGCTCCCGCCTCTTCAACACCTTCATTTGCATGCCAACAAAACATTCCTTTTTTTCATCTAAAAGCCTAATCTCAGTTTCAACAATTTTGGCGTGAAAATCAGGGAACAAATCGTCCTCATCGTCGCAAAACTAATCAATAGCGTTTGGATCGTATAACAGGTCACGGATCCTACTTGTGGGCTATGACAGGTAGCATTTGGATCAGAACGCGGATCCTACTTGTAAGCTATGATCGATAGCATTTGGATCGTGTAACTGGATCCTCTTTGTGGGCTATGATCGGTAGCATTTGGATCGTGTAAGTGGAAGTGAATTCTTCTTGTGACTATGATTCAAATTTCTGGATGGCAATGATAAAGGATTTCTTGCCTTTCTTTGCTCAAATCATATCATGGTTTGGGAGTTATCTCTGAGGCTTCGACATTCTCGACTTTGACACTTTAGGCTTCGACACTCACGACTTGAAGATTGTTGGTCCCGACAGTGTTATCAGTTTCTTATTGGCAAATTGATGCTTCATGATCAGTCAGTATCAATTTGTGGGGGGATGTCAATCAAGAAAGACGAAAATCAGATAGCTACATTAGGAGTTTTTTATTATTAGGAGCTTCCTTATTTAAATTATTTTTAATTTTTTATTCTGATTTATTTCCCTATTAACTAAATATTTAAATTAGGAATATGTATTATTAAGTGACCTAAAATAGATTATACAGAATATTTTGTACCTAAAATAGATTGTAAGATTATTATTTAATGGAATGAAAGCAAAGGAAGGGAAAAGGCATCGAGCCTATTCAGTATTCAACCAATTTTTCTCAAAACTTTGACATTAGTTAATTACATTTGACTTGGCACTTTAACTTTACCATTCACACTTGATATACTTAAAAAAATTTCTGAAACGAGTACTTATATTTTTGTTATTCGAATTAATAAATTTACAAATAGACTCGATCTTGTTAATGAGTATTTGATTTAATAGTGCAGAACTTTCATCACTTAATGTCACTACTAATAATTCTAAATGTGTTATATCTTTAATTAGCACTTTGTGTTAAAAAAATTACCCAATTTGCACTACCAACTGACTTCTAGCTTAACACATCTGCAACTACATGTGCATTCATTAGATGATGTATATTCAACTATAATCCTTAATAAGCTTAAGTCATCTACTTTGCCTTAAATTAAACTTCTTTTGTGTGAAAATATATTTCAAACTTTGATGATTCGTAAACACTTCACACCTAACCACATACAAACACCCCATGCAAATAATGCCTCAATATCTTCAAAATAAATACAACTGTTGCTAGGTTGAAGTCATGAATCAAATAATTTTTCTCATGGTTCTTTAGTTATTTAGAGATATAAGCAATTACTTTTCCATGTTACAAAAAAACACATCCAACTTTGCTTAAGGAGGCATCAATATAGATACAACTAACTTCCTTCTATTTAGCATATTTTCAATTTCTAAAAATCTAACTCGCAGCAATCAGTCCATTTCAATTTCACTGCTTTCTGACTCAACCTGAACAAATGCATTACAATCTGAGAGAGAACTTTAAAAAATATCTTATAATAATATGTCATACTTAGAAAACTCTAGACTTCTGTAATAGCGATTGGTTTGGGTCAATCATCAATAACTTTAAAAATATTATGATCTATAGAAATGCCCTCACTGTGTGATCATCTTCATCACTAGAATATATCAGAATATCATATATAAAGCCAATTACCAATCTATTCAGGAATGGTTTAAAAGTTATGTTCAAAAACTCTATAAAAATTATAGATACATTTGATAACTCAGGAGGTTTCACCATAAAGTCATAATGCTTATGTCTAATGTTGAAGACTGCCTGTGTTATATTAATTTCTTTAATTTTTAACTGGTGATAACCAAAGAGCAGATCAATCTTTGATAATATAGAGGTCCCTTCCAATTGATAAAAAAAATTATCAATCCTCGGTATTAAATACTTATTTTTCGTTGTGAGCTTGTATAATCAATGCAAAACCTTAAGCTCTCATCGTTCCTCTTAATAAAAACTCAAGAGAAAGTAATTGTTCTAATAAATAATTTCTCCAATAAGTACTGTAACTAACTATTTAGTACTTGTAGCTCCTTAATTGTCATCATATAAGGTGTTTTTGCTACTGGTTCTGCACCTTGTATCATGTCAATGGAGAAATCTATTTTATTAGAGGCAAAACTGGCAAATCATCCAAGAAGTCTTCAAGTTTCTTATTTACTACCAGTATATCCTCTAACTTTTTTGTTTCTTTCATATTGTCACCGACTTGACCTAGTAAATATTGGTACCATTTTGCTAATATTTTGAAAGCATTCAATCTTGATATCATCATAAAACTCATCTATCTCCCATAAATTTGAAACATTCTTCTCCACAAATATTAAATTTGACTATTTTTTTAAGACAATTTATAGTTGCGAAGGATAAATTCAAATTTTATTAATGGTAAAACTATCAAATTCACCTTCAAACTTCTATCGCAAATAATCGTATTCACACAACTCTATCAAACATTATGCCAGACCCACTAAGCAAAATAACTAACAGGACATTAGGCATCCTTATTGAGTTCAATCCTTCATTTCTCACAAATTCTTCAAAAAAAAAGGGAATGAGATGCCCCAATATCAAATAGAATTATGGACAAGTTATTTTGGATAAATATGATAACTATAACAAAGAGAATATACATTTCTAGTATAAATTAAGGATTTGGCAGATCAAACTCAAGTAAAGAACTACCTACAATGATGTTAGGTGAGTCTTTTGCTTTCTGCTAAGTCAAAGCATATACTCAAGGTTGCACACCCTGACCAATCTAACTCCGAGATGGAGTTGATACTATTGACTAAAATTGCCTTTGTCCATCAAAACTCCCCAAAGGAGATGGACCACCAGCTCTGATATCTACAAAAGATCTCTAACATAAGATAGGACAATATTTCGTCATATGTCTTACCTAATGATACAAACACAAAAAATAGATGCTAGTACCACACAAACATTCTTCTTTATGAGCCCTTCCACCCTTGGCACAAGTCATAACATTACAGCTGCTGCCACTACTACATCCACTTGCTAGATTTAAATTTCTTCCTGCTAGACTGCCCAAACTGAACAGACCATGTGGTCTGCCTATATGTGGACATCTCATTTCCATTTTTTTTTTCTAAAAATCACTACGTCACTGCTTAGCCAACAGATCAACCGCTGTAATTTTCACTCTCTCCATCAAGACTGTATAATGATTGTACAATCATATCCTTTAATCCAGATAAGAAACGATGACATTTTCTTTTGCATTGGGGATCAACTACGGTGCATATCTGGATAGCATCATGAAATCAAACTCATATTATATGATTGGGCGGTCACATTACACCAGTCTAATGAATCTATCTTACATTTATATGCCTTCTAGCTAAAAGAGGAACAAACCAATCACAGAAAATCTTCACAAAATTCTCCCACTGAATTGGGCTGATGGGTCGTCCACAAAATTTTCTTGCAGTTTTTCTTTGCCACAACCTCTCTGCTTCTAAAGCAAATGTGGCCAATTTGACCCTCCTTCCCTTTGGATAGGATATACCATGAATGATCTTTTCAATATGCAACAACCAATTCTCAGCCTCCATGGATATTTTAAAATCATTAAGTTAGCCTTGTGAAACTCTTAATTGTGTCAGTGAAGAACAAAACAATTAAGTTAGAAGTTTATTCCACTTCTTACAGGCTTTTCTTACAACTCCTAGCTTTTTTGTTCCTTGTGAGAAATTCAAGTTTTGCCCCATTGATTTTCAAAGTTTTGAATAGTACTCAATGTTTCTGTTATATGACTTGTGCTGAAGGTTTTATACAGCGATTGCTTATTAATTGAGATGTACCTAAAGCATATAAAACTATATTTCAAGGCTTAATTTAATTTTTAAGGAATGAACAAATCAAACTTTTCCTTCTAGTATTTTAATACTTTTTATTGTTGTTGTTATTATTAATTTGTATCCTACTAATTTTTGCAAATTGGATTTGCAGCATAAAACATCAAATTTGCATTAGAAACTAAACCCTACAACATTGTACATCAAAATCCCTTAACTAATATTTCCAAAAGGCTATTATTTTCCATTGTGTTGCAAAGGATAAATCTCAATAAAATAAAAACCGTCAGTTAAAATGCTTGGCTTAGTTCTGAAGCAACTTAATATTGAATTATGATAACGTAGAGATTTGTAAGCACATGTGTGAAGCAATATTGGTAAATATGTAGTTTGAATGCAAAAGCTGTGCAAACTAGATGTTAAACTAGCCAAAGTAGGGTATTTAGAAGTTCGATGATTAGCCTGCTAAAAAAAAGTTATAATTAAAAAACAAAATAAAAAACAGAGACTTACTCGTCAAACTTTCTCAGATTTTTCAAAGCAGCTACCAATCCATTGCATATTTCTGGTAGAGTGCTACTTCCGATCTTTTCAGCCACAAATGCTACATTTTTCGGATCATGTTGAAGTGATAAATAGCACTGAAAGTAAGAAAATATCAGCCTCAAACACAGTTTGGCATTGCATTGAGTTCTTATGGTTAGACTGCAATAAAAAGATGGAATGACCATCGATTAACTTGATTAAAAAAACATCACTTCAAGTTAGGACAAATACAATAGCGCCAGTTCATAGGCGACTCCAACCTCTTCATTTGGTAGTGTGAAAAGGATACATATCTATTGATTAACAAAAAAAGAAAAAAATCAAAATTTAAACGCAAATTGCAAAAACTTATCTAATTTGTTCAAATTTGAGAAAGGAGGATCTTAGTAAGATGGAAGTTGCACGAAGCCCAATGGAAAAAAATGGATTGCCAAATCCACACATTGAGCTGATTTCAGATTTTATAAATTTTATTGTTGGCCCAGCAAAGTTTTATAGAAATTCTTATTCCCATCCATAATCCTTCTGATGCAAGTTTTCTCTCTCCAATTTTTTTTTCCACATCTACCATTTTATAAGGAATAGTAACAGCATGATTATTAATAATGCGAACTTGAACATGGACATAATGTAAAAAACCATGAGTACAAATTAAATTTCAATACAAATGATCTCTAGTCAAGTGGAATTTACACTGGCAAATAGGCACCTAAACCTATTCAGTCCAATCCTTTATATGCAGATTTAAGATAATTATGCCTAAACTAAAGTATAACTAAACTCGAGCAATGAAAAAGATAAGGACATGTTTTAACGACCAAAATCCAAAAAGACTTCATGGAAGTTTCACATATTTTTAAACGTGCAAGAGAAATTATCCACCATAGTTGTGCCCTGACTAACACTGAATCCTACACTTGAGTAATATGTGCTGTTTCCCTCCCCCTGCCCCACTGAAAATTATAGTTTACCGGAATCACTACAGGAGCTTGAATAACTAGACCATGAAATTAGATAATACTTTCATGCAATGCAAAAACACTTAAAAATTTTAATAAATTAATTTCCTGTAGTAACTATTAATGACAAATATATGAAACAAGAAAATTAAGCCATATAACGAAAGTATGAAAACTGCAGTTTACTTCGAAACTTCAGGTAAAATACTGTGTATAAATTATCAACTTGATAGCTTCTGTCTCAGTTTGCAGGTAAACTTGTTTGATTTATAAGGCAGCATCTGCCTGAAACCAGAGAGTCAACTCTCGGTAATGACTCATAAAATTCATTGTTCACCACCAAAGTTAGCACATTCCCGGAAATGTTAATTGAAACTAAAAACTGTATCAACTCCTTCAAAAGAATAAGCTAACAAAGTTTGAATATTTATCTAAGTTACAATGATCTTTGGAAATTTACATAACAGTAGTTCAAGCATATTTTATAATTATTTTCAGAAAAGCCTAGCCCTGTTAAAACACTCGTTGTAGTCATCCATATAGCAGATAATATGCATCAGACCCGCGCTTAACCCTGTGGTTGCGGAAATTAGGATAGTGGGCCCCTTGTAGATAGAAACCACATTTTTTAGAACAATGGAATTAACATTGGATGTAACCAGAAATTAGCATGGACTTTAAATCCTACAAATCTCGTAAATGCAGTTCTTTTTTTATTTTAATTGACAAATCAATGAAAAAAAAAAACTATCACTACTAAAATTCATTGTCTGTTTATAAGCAACAAACTAGTCCCAGGGATAGAAAAACTAAGCCCATGTGACAAATACATGAAAATGTTTATATATTTAGTGACAAATTAAGATACTTAGAGTCAATACAAGGGCACAATTAACAGAAAGAGAAAGAAAAAGATAAATTTCCTCGGAAATATCATGAAGGTTTTAGAAATTTGCAAGGAATTATTCCGACTCTATTCACCTTAAAAGCTTGAGCCAAGAGCAAACAAGCCACCTCAGAAGTCACTTTTCTCAAGATGCCGCCAGAAATTACAGGATTTGAGAAGCAATTCAAGATGCCCTCAAAAGTTTCATTATTTGGTGAAGTATTTGTCCTCCTAGTTCGAGTAGAAGGCTGAAAAAAAATAGGACACAGAAAGCATGTAAATATTCAAAAATAGTAGTTTAACAACAATAGGCCTGTAAGGTTTGCAACTATAAGTAAACATAATTTAACTTACAGATCAATGAAAAAAAAAAGGAAACGAAAAATTTACATCCCAAATCTCCAAAATAAGATAAAGAAAGAAAGTGATGAATGGTGGAATATACGATATACAGGAGCAATACTGTTAGTTTGGTATTTCATCCGAACAATTTGAAGATATAAAATTACTGAAAATAGTTTATAAGACTATGCATGAGGAGCAAATGAAAATATGTATACAACAGTATTGTTTCCGTGTTTGGTTTATTCTCTTAACTAGTATTATTACAAACTGGATATTCTTATGTATTTGAGTAATGTATGAGAACTCTTGCGGTTTGGTGGTTTTGTACTATTTGAATATTATTGTGGATTGTTATATGTTTTAGAATTGTGCATCTCTACCATCTGGTCCCACTTTGAAAATTCCAAGCTCCATGCCAAAATCCTGACAACCTTCTTTTTGGAGCTGAAATGGCTAATATATAGTTTATCATGGATTTTTTGGATGTACCACCACATCATTATTCTTGAAACTTGCATGTTGCATTTAATATCAAAAGGCAGAAGGTGCAAAAACTATGCATCTACAATGTGATCATTATCCTGTTAAGGAGACACGAAATAATTGCCATCTACATGTTTCCAATCAAAGTTACAATGTAAAGCAGTTTCTCCAAAAAAATGAGTTTCCCTGTTGCCACATCATTATTCACTTCTAAGAACAAAACTACTGATGTTAGGATTTCATTGTTACTGCTAATGGAATTCACTAGTTTATTCATGGCAGTGTTGAAAAGAACCCATTTATCCTAAGGGAGCTCTATGTGCGTTCATGCTAACCCCTTTTAGTACTTCTCACACTTGCATTTGAGCTACCAACAACAATCCAAATTGCACGAGATTGGTCAAGTCAGGAAGCTAGTCAGCTGTTAATATATGACATTTACTTGGATGTCTGCTCAAAAATACTATCTTCAAACATCCATTGATATTTTACTCAAAAGGTATACCAAGGAGTCTACTTTGAAATGCACCTTGGTTATCTTTCAAGGTGTAGTACTTAGGTATCCATTCAATAGTGGTCTATCCAGTAATGAATTGCCCAATCTATTGGAATACTACAAGCTGAGCAGATCCATGTATTGCGCCTTACTGAATTGAGTCATTTGTTCGATCTTTCTATACATCTCATATCTAACCAGGCACAGTCTGTTTGATCACCTTAAAGCTTCCAACCTCTGGGCATAAGGTTTTCTTGGTTGCAAAGAGCTAGAAAGTAAGATGCAGTAAACCTTAATGTAAGTAATATAGTGTCTTTTTTGCAAGACATGGGCAAATAAAATAATATAATTGAAAGGCTTCAGCTGAGAGGAATACACTCATAAAATCAGAAAGTTAATGTTAAGAAAAAAAAAGCTTTAAATAAAATTTTATGCGAAAGGAAAAAAAGATTGGCATCAATCTAAGTGGCTATTTTACAAATATAAAAAACTGTTCCTACTGTTGAACCACCAAACAGATAAATCATAATACAAGTAAATGGCTACACAAGACAACCAAGGCCGGTAAATCAATAAAAGGAGAAAGCATGCTATCAATGCTAATGTGAAATATAATCTAAGCATCAAAAAGAACCTGTCTACAAGAAGTCTCTTATCATAAATAATGCTTATCTTAAGGATCCTATCAATGCAATAAATAATTTAATTAAATAACATCTAGTCAGCTTGTCCTTCCATAGTACTTCCCAAAATACACTAAAATGATCTCCAACTTCCAATTAGGTTCACCAACCATCATAAGAGCATGAGTTGCCCCCTTTATAATACTACTTTCTTTAAAGATCCTTTCAATGCAATAAATACTTTTATTAAGAAAAAAAAATCCGCTTACCCTGCTATAGTATTTACCAAAATACAGTAGAATGATCTCCAGCTTCCATTTTGGTTCTCCAAAAGCCTATTAAGTACCACCCAAAGTTAAAGAAGACTAGAAAATATCATTGATAAAGACGATAGCAAATGACAAGGAGCGAATGATCAAGCAAGCATTTAAGTCCATTAATAAAGATATTTTGGACCAAAAATAGGGAGACAGCAAATTAAAAAAAAACAATAGATAAGAGGAAAATTCAAGCTTGTGATAAGAAAAAACAGAAGCACATTAGTGAAATTTTAGCAAACCAAGAAACACAAACTTAAAATAAATTAAGTGAATAAACTTTTGTGAAATGATAAATAATATCTCTTACAACATAGCATTCCATTATAATAATATAATACTAACAATGCATTCCGTCAGTTGGAATACGTTACTCATGAGAGTCGACTGGTCCCTCCTCGACCGGGACCAGTCGAGATCCCTTCAAGCAAACCACCTGACAGGAACCGAATAGGTATTTCTCGCATGGAGGAGAGGAGCGGCAATATTTCCATGGCCGAAGAAGGCAGAGAGAAGTTGGGGGCCGCAAGGACCCTAATTGCATATGCAAGGAGGAGAAATTAAGGAATTAGGAGAGAGTTGGGTGGGGGTGAATTTGAAATGATGTGGGAGGATTCTATTAAAGGGGGACAGGGTTTGTTCTTTTTTATGCTTGTTTTTGTTGGCTGCTGGTATTTGCTTCTATTGTTGTGTTCCTAACGACTCCTAGGGGTGTGGGAGAGCTGATTTACCTCTCGAAAAGTAGGTCACACTTGTATCTTGCTTGTTTGTCTTTATTTGTTTGTTAAAAGCATCCCTCTTTTGAGTTTGTTATCTATCTCTTGTCGTTTCGTGGTTGTTTGCCCGCTGATTTTGGTTCCAGTGCATATCAAATTGGTATCAAAGCATAAATTTTGGTGGGATGACAGCAAAGAAAGTGGATGTGCTAGAAGGAGAGGTAGGGCAAATCAAATCGGGAATGGAGGAGTTCGCCACCATGGAGGATAGGTTTTCTTCCATTGAAAGTAGAATGGAGGAGGGATTTGAGAGCACAGGAGAAATGCGAGAGATGATAAAAAAAAAGCTCATGGAGATGCAATCCAAGGTTGTGCTGACCGCTCTAATTGCAAACTCTAACCAAGGGTTGACCAAGGAATCCATGGTCAGGACAAAAGGGAAGGAGATCGAACGAGAAGACAATGAGGGAGACATCATCTATCAACATGAGTGTCCCCCTAGGACTCTGAGAGTAAGGGAAGTGGAGACTTTCGATGGAGGGTTGAAGGGCAGAAAATTGGAGGGATGGTGTAAGAGGCAAGGAAGATTACTATGGAGGAAAGAGGGAATCAGGGGTTGGGTGTGCTTATAAATGGAGGGAGTTTCACTCTGGATACATGGGGGGCATACCGGAGGAAGAGGAAGTAGGGGTGGAAATGCATGGGTCAGACTGAAGATGCTGATATTCGAAGAGGAGGATGCACATGAGTAGGTGTATAGAGCAGAGCGATACTTTGCAATCAATGGGTTAATTGGGGAAGAAAAGCTCATGGCAGCAAGATTATGCTTGAAGGGGAAAACTTTAGCATGGTTTCAAGGTATCCGATGTACTCATGACAGGAATTTAAGAATTGCTTGTTGGAGCATTTCTAAGCCATTCGGGAAGAAAACCAACATGAGCAATTCTATGCTCAGACATAGGAGAGAATGATTATGAAATACCAAAAGAAGTTAAAGCACTTGTCAGAAAGTTCAGGGGTTTTTCTGCAGCAAAACTAGAGGGGAATTTCTTGAAAATTCTAAAGCCCGACATCCGAGCAGCCATCCGAACCTTGAAACTGCATGGATTGAAAGAAATGATAGAACTCGCCCAGATCATGCAGGATATAAAACAGCTGAAAAAGAACAAGGGCGGAAACACGAGAGGATTCTACAAGAGCCACTTGATAGCTGCGACACTAAGGACTCTGACGGTGTCACTTTAGACAGAGACGTAGAAGAAGAATAATACAGGAATACGTCCCAGAGGTAATTTCAAGTGCCTCACAGATGCATAAGTGCAGAATAAAAAAACAAAAGGATTGTGTTACCACTATTATGAGAAATATGCCCCAGACCACCGTTGCAAGGAGCGCGCTCTTCAGATTCTATTAGTTCAAGAGAAGGATACAGAGAGTGAAGAATCAGAGGAGGAGCTGGAGGAGGAGCATTTGTATTTGGATGTGGCGTAGGCATCCCTCAATTCAGTGGTAGGATTTACTCCAAATCATACCATAAAGGTGAGGAGGTGGATCAAGGAATAGCTGATTGTGGTATTGGTGGTTAGCAGAGCCACACATAACTTTATCTCAAATTAGGTCGTAGAGAAATTAGGGTTGGAGCTAGTGACTGTAGAGTGCTTTGACGTCATGATGCGGACAAGGACAGGGAAAGTGGAGAAAAATCGGGGAAATTACAAGGGGGTGGTTCTGAAACTAAATGGCTTACAGGTGGTTGAGGATTTCCTTCCAATAGATTTGGGCAGCACAGATATGATTTTTGGGATGAAGTGGCAGCGAATGTTAGGTGAATTGAAAGTCCCCGACAATGGAGTTCCAAGTGGAGGGTAGGAATGTGATAATGAGAGGAGATACTAATTTATGCAAAAATGTGATGTCGCTCAAAACCATTGATCAAGTCGATAAGAGCATGACTGGGCTACTTGATGGAGTTGCAGATAATTGAGGAGATTTGAGATTCAAAGTTGACAGAGTTTCTTAAAGGAGTACAACAACTCCTACATCAGTTTACAGGTGTCTTTCAACAGCCACTAGTTAGATTTGTCGGCTATTTTTTCTTAAATAAGATTTTAAATTTAAATTTAATATAATATATAATGTAATTTTAATTTTGTGAAAACGGTATTTTTTATTTTTTAAAAAATAAATAGACCAGATAGATTTCATATATCTAAAATTTTAAATAGCTAGACACGATACCGCAAGTGATATATTTCATCCCAAAAAGATGAATGTATCACTTGTTAGGGGGCTTAACTAATTAAACTTAAAAGTTAATGATTCTATTTTGGTCTGCGAATTTATAGCCGACAAATTCCTCTTTCTAATACACAAATTAGATTGAGTTTAAATTAATTTGGGTTTTTAATTCCCTATAGAGCCAAGCCTCTATAGTTAATTACATCCCAAATGACGGGGGTCATTTGAGAAAACTCTCGATAGTGATCAGAGGTTTCGTCTTCAAAAATTCAACGTCTAGGTTTGCACGATTTCTTATAGGAAAAATCAAGTGGGATAGTTTCAAGTAAGAACAGTTATTTCCAGAATCCAAATGAATGAAAAGTAGATGTCGAAGATACCAAATAAGATTCAGTGACATCTCAAACTAACCTATGATTTGATTTTACATTTTTTGAAAGGGAAATTAGGGAAATTAGGTGATGTTTCGGTCCTGCAAGTTATTTAGATATTCGGGACTTGTTTCTGTATGTCATATGCAAATAGCTCAAGCAAATGTGAGGATTTATGTCGTACCGAACAACGATCTCAGAATCCTAAAAAGTTTTGGACTGATATCATACAATATAAAATCGTAGGATGTCCTAAAGGATAATGTGAGGATTTAAGTCATGCTAGACGAATAACATCGACGTCTTGTGGGTGTATATTATTTAAATCTATCAAAGTTCGGTTGAAGCCCCTCTTTCCACCTTCTGTTGTTGTCTCTATTGTCTCCTAGAGATGAATCTTCACTTACTCCAGGTCGTCACCTCATCTCAAGAAGACAGGAGAAAGAAAAGAGAAAAAATCATGCACTTACTCCAGGTCGTCACCTCATCTCAAGAAGACGGGAGAAAGAAAAGAGAAAAAATCATGCCTCAAACGACCTATCCTAGGGTGTTATACAAACATGCTAGAAAAAAAATATTTAAAAGTATGAGTACAGATGAATGTCTATAGTATGATGCAGTAAAGGAAAGGAACAACTATGTAGTAAACTACTGTAACAGGAAAAGACTGAAGGAAAACTATGAAAGTAAAGAAATATAAAGTAAAGAAAGACTATGCAATAAAGAAACAAAACTGAAACAACTAAATGTACCTGATTAATTGTGGCTATGCTACAAAACATATTGCAATCGCATGATATAAAGGGGTTAGATAAACATTTACAGATTATAAAAGAAAGGTTAAATGATAAGCATATGAAAATTTAGACTGGGATATCAGGCTCAAACTAGACTTCTTTCTTTATTTCTCGATCCCCCGGGCCATTGATATATTGAAGTCAACCTATCAATATCAACTAGAGGGCACAAACCAATCACCCCTATAGTCGAGCAACCCTACACCCTATCGTTTAACGGATGTGTGAACCCAAATAGTATCTGGACTTATCTTGTTAAATATATAATGTACCCATGTGATATAGTATCTGAACTTATCGGGGTATGGTGCACCTACATGTGATGTTAGGATAAGTGATGTATAGTATCTATTGTGTAGTGTCTATTGCATATCGTGGTATTTGTTGTGTAGTATCTAGACTTATCAGTTAAAGATATGTAGTGTATACTTTTCATAGATGTGGCATTTGTCGTTTTGTGGATGTAGTATCTGTTCTTTTTTTTTGCAAGTGTAATATTTGTGTAGTGTTTATTGTGTATCTGTTCTTTTTTAACTACCAATTCTCAAGCATTTTAAAGAGGGTTAGAGCTGTCGACGATTTAAGGGAGTGAAAGGACATCTCACTATATGAATATCGATTTTTATATTTTCAGCTATAAGAAAAGTTGATCAATGGTTATTTGCATCATTGTCTGATACCGCGCATCTCGAACTTATAGGCCACTTTAATGTTTCATATGCTTATCTAATAATTTTTTGAATGTTTTGTATAATGAAATTGAAAGGGACGAATTTCTAACAGGTTCATAACGTTAATCATTTATTTTCAAATTTAATCTCAAGCCATGATTATATCTATATAATTGTTTCATGCCACATTTCAAAAATCATATACCCACTGTATCATAATTTCCC